CTAGCTCTCATCCCAGTTGCGTAAAAACCCCTCTTTGACCGATTAAAATAGTAGCACGCAACAATACATGTATATGTTATTTACGCGGCAACACCATAAAGAAATCCATCTATCTATAATTATACTCTGATGTAGAATAGTTGTTGAAAACCATGTTATATTTTGATTCTGGTACAATACGAAATAATCGGCGCCGAAGTTTAATATTTTTTGAACCAGCTGAATGAAATGCTATAATATTACGAACTCTAATAATTTGTATTCTTAAGTTAACATAAATAATGATATTGATTTCTTTTTGTTACAAAATATTTCTCAGTGTCATTAAATTTTATCTGATGAAAATACTTTAATAGTTGTGAAATTTTTATATTAATCCATTAAATCTATTTAGACATTGCCCAATTCTTCTCTCTTTTAAATTAAGTAAATTAAGAATCGCTTAGGAAATTGAGCTATGATAAGTTTCCCAAATAAAGTTTTAATGCAATCAACACAACACCAGCAATCAAGCATTTTCTGTCACGATCTAATTAGACAAAAGTGAAGCAAAATCAAGGTAATTCCAAGAAATAATCATGGATGCAAAGGTAATAAATTAAGATTATAATTCATGAATGTCACATTAAGGAATTAAATATGCAAAATAAGGAACCTATAAGCATTTTGTTTGATTCAAAATCGACAAAATAGTTTTATGTTATATACAACGTAATAATTAACGTGCACACGCGCGAATTATTTACAAGTAGACATATTGATATGGATCAATTTATTTTGAAACTCTATAACAAAAAATGTTCCTTACGAAATTTTGCTCATAATAATATTTTTGTCATATAATCCTAACTCTAAATACGTACATGTATAACCTAAATACATATACATGTACGTACATGTATTACGCCTAGAGTACGTATTTTGTTATTTACACAACAATAGAAGTTATGAACTCTCAAAGTTAATAGGGATGTTATCAGGTCGACTAGGTTCAGTTCGGTTGAAAAATCCCATTTGGTGGTTTGAACCGCGGTTGTTGATTAATCACATGCGTGAGTTTAATTGGATGAAAAAAAGTGGAAAATCGAGTATCTCATCACTAACAATTAACACATATGGTGCATAATATCTAAAGTCATCAAACGTTTGTGTTTTATAAAATGTATAAACTAAGAAGTAAATACAAAATTTAATCCGTGAATATTCTCAGAAAGAGCCTATTCTATCATATTCACGGATTAAATTTCGCATTTACTTCTTTGTAAAGAAGTTTATACATTTTGTAAAATACAAACGTTCGATGATTTTAGATGTTATGCACCATACAATTTTATTTATATCTTAATTAATTATGACAATAATAATAACATTTAGAATAAACAAGTGAATGAAATCTATTTCTATTGTATAGTATCTATCAATAACTGTTTCTATTAATAATTAATCTATTTTTATTCATGTATGCCAGTATCCGTTTCCATCCAACTTTTCAAACACATAAAAACTTGAGCTGATATTGGAAAAAGACGGTTTCGAACCTTGGTGAGAGTGTGTGCAGCAACTGAAAATGCTTGCTCACGTGGAACTCTTGTGCCTTGAATAGCAAGATAACTTCGTGCTATTTTTGCTAATGTTGGAAATTGATTTTCATATTGTTTCCACCAGATTAATGGGTTATAATCACACAATGGCAAGACTAAATAACATGTTAACTCATAATCTAATGATGCTTTTCTTGTAATAGGCAACTCAAAAAATGATCGTGCATTTTGTTTATTTGATGTAGTGGTAGTTGATTTTGGGACTAATAATGTTGTATTAGTGTTTCAAGTTTTGTAATAGCTATATTGCTTTCTTCTCCAGTTGTAAAAATAAGTAATTTTGAGTGTGAATCCAGTATAATAGAAATTATTGTAGGATCATTAGAAAGATTCCAATAATCATCTAGTTTTTGCAAATAGATTCAGCATCATGCATTTTTCTTCTGCATGATTATTCATATAATTGCTTCCAATAATTCAACCATTGAATCAATATTATTCCATTTTGTGTCATCAAGTTATAATGATTACAAGTTTTTATTACTTGTAACAAGAAAATTAAGCTTCTTTCACATTATTTTGACTTTCTCAAACATTTAATATGTACTATTCCAGCATGTAATGACATTAAAATCGGATTTGATATAGTTTTTCTTAATAAATTGGCAATAACTTCTAAGCATATCACAAAGAATTGTTGAATTTTGAATTGTTGTTATAAATGTTCTAACTTTATTAATAATTCTTACACTTAATTCCATTCTATGAGTTATTGCAATATTTAAAATGTGAGCAACACAGTGACAGTGTTAAACTCCCAATTATTCTAATTTATGTATCATAAGTTTTTTTACAAAGAATCATTTTTGAATCATTGTTAGTAGTAACGGTAAGTGCTAATATTTTTCTATTAAAATTCATTTCATTAAGTAATTGAAGAAACTTTTCTTTTGTTCTAATTCCTGTATGGTTGTGTTCAAAATGAATTAAATACAATAGATAATATTGCATTTTCCAATTGTTATCAATATAATGAATAGTCGCACCAAGATATGCTTGATTTGAAACTAACGTCCAGATATTTGCAGTAAGTGCAATATGTATTCAGGAAGTATTAAAGAGATTTATAATAGTTTTTGAACTTATTGATGTGACAGTACTTCATATCTTGGATCAAGAGTGCTGCAAAAGCTTTTTGAACCAGTTACTTTTTACAATAGAAAATGGTAATTGATTGCCCAAAACAAGATCAATGACTGTTTTTGTACATTCAGCTTTTCAATGATCATTTTTTCCATATGGTTTATATCTTTTTGTTCATTAGTTATATGATGTCACTTTTAAAGTTATCCATACGAGGACGAGTTGATGTTTTTTTGCTGAATGTGTTTTGACATAGATTACAAATAATAGCTTCTATTTCATGTTTTTCATTGTATTTTTTACTCCTGTAATTCCAAACAAGGAATATTTGATTGTGCTGATTTTTATTGATATGGCGCATAAAATCTAAAGTCATCAACGTTTGTATTTTATAAAATGTATAAACTTCTTTACTAAGAAGTAATTTAATCCGTGAATAAGATAGAATAGGCCTTTTCTGAGCATATTCACGGATTAAATTTGGTATTTACTTCTAAGTAAAGATGTTTATACATTGTATAAAATACAAACGTTTGATGACTTTAGAGTTTATGCACCATAGTAGATTCACTTTCGGATATAGTAGATTCAATTTCGGATATAGATGAACTTGCAAGTTCAGTTTCAAGTTCATAATTATCTTCTTCGATATTATTAAATTCTTCGATATTTTCTAAATCAACTACTTCGTTTTCAATAAAATTTGAGATATCTATATAATACAAGACATTTTTCATTGTATAATATTATGTACGCGTTTTCTAAATTAAGTACTTAATTAAATTAGCCAGTTAAAAATTAATTAATGTTTAATTAAATTGATCTAACCGAAGTAAAACAGATTTAATCAGTTCGGTTGTAGAACTGACGCTGAACCGGTTTATCTATAATCAATAACGATAACATCAAGTGAACGACTTCCACACCATATCGATATATCGATATAAATCATCGTTTTTTAAATAAAACGCTGCCATAATCACTAATAAACTCAAATATGATATCTAAAACTCATGATTGTCGTGAATGCTGGCGTTGTAAACTATGGGACTACTGCAAAGTGTATTCAGTTCACAATATTTATGATTGTAGTAATAACTGTTTCGATTGTAAATATTGGGTCCCTGCGATGAGTGTTTAGTAAATGTACTCGTTGTCAAACAAATAAGGACTGTTATGGATGTACTCTATATCACAAACGAATTTATGTTGAAGGGTCTAGTGGGAATAAAGATACGACAGTCTAATAAATGAATGCGTGAAAATTAGTAAGAGGTTTTTCGAATGGATCCCTTTGGAAAGTTTTATCATAGTTGAATATCTTGCAAAAGGAGGTTTTGGATCAATTTAGAAAGCATCCTGGTTGAACGGACCATTAAATGATTACTGGGATCATAGAAACAATAGATTCAAACGAGATAGAAAAAGAGAAGTTGTATTGAAATCATTACACAATTCAAAGCAAATTACATCCGAGATAAAATGAACACCTTTTAAGTATAAGCATATCGCTTTTTTGTTTTTCAATCTAATTAAATTTTTCAAAATTAGATCCAGACTGCTCTAAAGTGCAGTTATCTGGATTATCATGGAATTTACCGATGTTGAATATCTTGCAAAAGGAGGTTTCGGATCAATTTATAAAGCAACCTGGTTGGACGGACCATTCTTCACGTGGAATTATGAAGAAAATAAATTCAAGCGACATGGAGAACGCGAAGTTGTATTGAAATCATTACAAATTCAAAGAAAATTACATCGGAATTTATAAAAGAGGTAAAAATGTATATTTCTCTAAAGTATAGGTATTATGCTTTTTGTTTTCTAATACAAACAAGTTTTCAAAATAGATTCAGACTACTCTAAAGTGCACCAATGCCTATCTTAGATATTATGGGATAACTAAAAACCAAAATATAAATGAATGTTCGATAATAATGGATTATGCACACACGGGCGATCTGCGCAAATACATTCCAATCATGAAACATTGATTTGGGAAGAAAAATTAAAATATTTAAATGATGTTATCTCAGAGCTGAATACAATTCACAAAAGACTTTGTGCATCCTGGAAATATACTATTGCATGTTAATGCTCATATTGCCGACTTTGGACTTACTGGACCAGCAGATACAGATAAATCTAATCGAGAAATTTACGGAGTACTTCCTTATATTAGTCCAGAGGTGCTAAATGGAAAACCATACGCTAAAGCTGCAGATACTTATAGCTTTGGGATGATTGTACGAAGTTGTAACAGGTGAGCGACCATTTGGTGAGCAGAATTACGATTTATATCTTATAATTGACATCTATAGTGGAGTACGGCCTACGATACCAAATAATGTTCTTGGCTGGTGCAAATTTATTATTGAAAAATGTTGGGATCTTCTATTCCAGAAAACAGACCATCTGAACTTTTCGACTTTATCGACTCTATCTGCTTTACCGATATTAACGACGAGAAGTGAAAGCCGAATGTTTTGCATTTTCAGTACTACAGCGCTTTAGAATACGTATCCTAAAACAGATGAAGAAATCAAGGAGCTTAAACTAGAAAGAGACTAAATGAAATGAGATATCAGAAAGCTTTTCTACAAATACAAACAAAAAACAACAAATTCACCCAAAAGCAGTTTACACTAGCCGAATCTTTACTTCGAAATTAGTTTCAATTTCAACTGACACAGGTACTTTCTACTTCGACATATAAATCATATGGACATTCACATTAATTAAGAATTTCAACGAATATTTAGGGGTTACAAGTGTCAATTTGCATGTTCCGGATGAAGGTAAATTTACTACATGTAGTTTTTCAAAAAATATAATATTAGTACTAAAATACTTGTTTGCAACTCTAGAATTTGTTACTTGATATAGATATTGATGGCGAGTCTACAAATAACAGACCAAATAAAGGTGAATTTATTAGTTATTATTCTACGACAGTGCACAGTAATTATTATTAATTGATTATAATTTTCGCTTGTATTTTTTTTATAATGTCAGAATATGTCTCACAAGAGTTTAATATTTATATTGAGAATAATGGAAAAGATGCCGAAAGGAAATACAACGTGAGTTTTTTCGTTAATAGCAACAGAGACTCAACGTTTTAAAATATCATAATTCTTTCAATAAAACTAAATTTTAAAGATTATAAGCGTCCTATTGAAATAAACGGTTTGTTTTCAATATTAATATACTAAGACACTTGTTGCGTGTATCTTAGCATATGTGACTGATATCGATATTGATGTCGAATCTACAAGTACCAGTTTATATGTTCAAAATGAGACAAATGAAGGTAAAATCACTTTGATCTTCTTTTTTAATAATTTCTTTAATTGCTATTTTTTCTTTGTAGTGCAAGAAAAAATAACGATAACAAATGAAGATTCCAATCAACATCAAGAGATTACTCGACTCAATTTGATTATTACACAATACATACAAAAACAAGATGAATGGGAACGTGAACGAGATGAATGGGGACATGAACGACAAATTTATCACATAGGCATTTGAACTTGAAAAGGAAAATCTATTGAAAAATTTAAAAATTAGAATTAGAGAATACATGTAGTAATATCGATATTGTTATGTGAATCTCGTAATTTATATAAAGGGGTCCGTTAAAGCCGTGTAGTTACACGTGATTTTAACCCGATCCGGATTGCAACCATGTGACCCAAATCGAATAGCCAATAAAAATACTAGCATTGGCTCACTAACAATAAGCTTTAACACTCTTTGAATAAACCCACATTAAAAATATTACAGTTAGATTTCATTATAGTGAAGATGCTTTGACTATTAGTGAAAAATTTTCAAAAATTCACTATATCAAGAGTTGACTGTACAGTCAATTCTTGATATAGTAAATTCCCAATATAGTAAAGTTGAGCTCAAAAACAGTATGTATTAAATTCATTCGATAGTGAATTTATTAATAAACTCTCGATATAGTGAATTTTTGAAAATTTTTCACTGATATTCTGAACACCTTTAACATAATGAGATTAGATTGTTAAAGTTGGCAAGCGATTTTTATAGTATTTCGAAACTGACCAATTAAAAATTTTATTTGATCGTTATTGTTAAAACTGATTTTTCAATATCACTCCCATCCATTTTATCAAATACAATTAATTTTGATTACAGTAACATAATCGGAGAAGAGGTTTTGGTGATGTTATTACATTAAACACTACTTTATCCAATATAAAAAAATTTTTTTGTATCAAGTAAATCATATTACTATCATATTACTATAATCAGTATGTTATTGTAAAAAATGATATTATAACCAGCTCTGAATGCACTATCAAAAAACTCACTGGATCTGGTTATAACAAAATCAACATGGAGAAACTGGACATCCAAAAACTCTTACTAATTCTAATCAACACTAGCAGTCTTAGAAAAATGCCAAGAAAAATCAATCAACTTTGAATGATTATATTTTTGTGATTGAATACATGTACATGTACAAAGAATGTTCATCTTAATTAGATAAATTAAATAAATCTAAGTTTACAAAATTCTGAATGAGATATTATTGCTTCGATTTGTTTGTTATTTTGTAATTTTTCATGTGCTGAATTTAAATACCATTATCTTTATTAATTTTGTTCTAATTTTGTTAATATAAATGCAAAATATTCATCTTTATTGTAGGATTATAAAGATCTGATCATGTATTTCAAAGGTATGGGTGTTCAACGATGTCATAAAGAGCCGGTGCAAGACTAAATATAGAGTTGCAACTGTGTACATGTAATACTTATTTGTCATTTATTGTGACTTATAGATTTAATTGTGATCAATTGTAATATAGTAAAAATATTGGTGATAAATAAGTGTCATATTCTTGCGATATCATCTTTATGCGAGATCAAACTGGACTCCAATTGAAATTATGATAACACAAATAAAATGAAGAAATTAAACATCCAACAATGAAAGAAATACCGAATACTTACATTCAGAAAACTCAGTATGAAATCAAACTGGAAACTTGTCACTTAAGTTGTTAGAAGTGAGTTTGATTACCATTTTCATTTCGCCGATGTTGCGAATTTCTCCAGGTTGCAATTAGTTTTTAATTTAATTTCATAAACAGTGATGTTGTTAGTGAATATTCGGCATTTCTTTTCATTGATTCCAAATACGACAAATTGAATTGAAATGAAAACTCAGTTATTTATTGAGTATTATCAGAGGGTTGAGTAAAATTTACGAAGAGGAATTTGTACATCGTGACTTTCACCCTGGAAATATATTAATAATTGGATCTGTATTTGATTTGTCTGGAATTGCCGATTTTGGACTTTCAGCTCCAGAAATTTAAATAAATCTAATTAAGAAATTTGCGGAGTACTTACTTATATGAGTCCAGAGTACTAAATGGAAGCCATACACCAAAGCTGCAAATATTTATAGTTTCTGGGTGATAACGTATGAGGTTACCACTGGTATACAACCATTAAGTGAACGAAGCCACGATATACATCTTGTATTAGACATCTATAACGGAGTACGACCTACGATACCAAAATAATGTTTCTCAATTTTATTATTGAAAAATGTTGGGATCATATTCAGAAAACAGACTAGCTGCTAAGGAACTTGATGGCTCTATCGACTCTATCACTTATATTAATATCAAATCAATCAGAAGTGGGAACTGAGTACTTTGCATTTTCAGTACTACAGCTCTTTAGAATCT